GCCATATATGAGAAGGCTCAACCTCCTTTAGTGGACTTTGTTTTTCTGGGTACTACCAGAAGCCCTGAGGCTTCTGGTAGATATTAAAGAATGGAATGAGACAGAATGATGGTTAAATGAACAGGAGCTAGACTATTGAAAGCCTTATTGGTAAGAAGCAATATTTTAAAATCCGCTTAAGTCGCGACATACCGGTGATGTATGAAATACTGTTTCCGGGTCCAAGCTACTACTTATTTTAAATTGAGAAAATATTTATTTATGTTCAATTGGTTTTATTAAAGTGAATTTAATATAAAATCATGGTGTACACAACACCCTCTGGACTTGCTGCATCACAGACACCAAAATCTAACAATTTATAAAAGATTTATCACTTTCTGGCCATCGGATATTAGGCATGGATATATAAAATGCTATCAAGATTTTCGAAAATAATACATCGCTTTGTAAATATTTATTAGGCAAGGCAGGTTTATTTATAGGGCAAATTTCATACACACTGGCAATTCAAAGTGCTTTACATAAACAGAAATAAAAGGGACAAGTATAAGAAAATAAAAACAAATAATATATAATAATTATAAATAATAATATTAATATTATCATTTGATGAGCCTCCCCATACAGTTTGATATGTTGCTCAGGCCCGGAAGCAGCTTTGCGTGACGTCACACTTAACAAGCAGATAAATATAGAATAATTAACAGGCAGCCAGTGTAAAGAAGATACAATTGTGGTGATATAATATTTTCTTCACCTAGTAAGAACTGCAGCAGCTGCAATTTACACTAGCTGAAGTTTATTAATAGCTGATGCATTACATTTAGTGAACAGAGCAATACAGTAATCCAGTATAGAGGTCATAAAAGGATGAACTAGCTTTTCTGCATTGGAGATAGATGGCGTATTTCTAAGCTTAGCTATATATATATATATATATATATATATATATATATATATATATATATATATATATATATATATATATATTAGGGATGTAACGGTATTGTAAATACCGTCATACCGCAATATTAAATTTTTTCGATATAACCGAAGTCGCATGACTCGGTAAAACTATAGGTCTTCTGAGAAAATTTGCTCAGGCGAATGAAGCGAACGGGAGGTAGCTGAAACTTCATTTCCCATCAGCCCCGGCGTGGCCATAATCCTTTGCGGTCTGTTGTCGCTACAGATCCAGTAATGCGGAAATGGAGTGTGCTGCTAGAAGCGGAGATGAAAAAAAGATGGAAATGATCGAACCTAAAGCAGGTGTTGTCGCCGCGCGCGTGCTGAATAGCGGTGCTGTCGCGCGCGTTCTGATCAGCTGTGTTGTGGCGCGCGTATTGTAAAGCGCCGAGGGGGGGGTTGAGCGCGCATACTCGAGAGGTGTTGTCGCGCGCCTACTGAAGGGCTGGACTGGACGGAGGTTGTGTCGCGTCGCGGGGGCACTTTTGATCGTTTTGGAAGGGCATTTTCTATCCAAGACTAAAAAGGGCATGTGCACTGCACAGGTTGAGCCCTATGTGTGCACGTGCCTGCAAATTGGGGAATACGACTAATAACAGTCATGGGGACTGCAGAAACACAGCACACTGTTCAGATTGATGCAGACATTGACTTGTACCGCAAAGAGACCTCTATCTCACTCATGGTTTGTCTTCTCAAGTGGGGGAAAGACAATGCACAACGTTACCCACTGCTGTCAACATGGACCAAGTCATATCTCTCCTGTCCCAGAAACCTCAGTCCCAAATGAGAGGGTTTTTTTCTGTTGCAGGGGACATTGTAAATACCCAGAGATCCCAGCTTTTACCAGATTATAGTTATATGATAATTTTCCTTTAAACCCATCTCTATCTAAGTGAGTGATTAAATGTTGAATGTGATGAGTTTTCAACAATACTAAATTGAAACTTTATTTTTTTACATGGTTTAATAATTTTTTGTTATTAAAATTGAAGTTCCTGTTTCAAAGCTAACAGATAGATGGCTAATTTGTATGTCATTGACACTTTTGGCACTTTTTTGGAGTATTTTCAAAAGTTTTTTTTCCTGTAAATGATTCAATAAATACCGTACCGTGACATTCATACCGAGGTATTACCGTACCGTGAAATTCTGATACCGTTACATCCCTAATATATATATATATAAATATATTATATATATATATATATATATAAATAAAAGGCTGACTCAAACATAAAGCAATAAACTGTGACAAAATAAAAGTTCTCATCTCATCTTAGTTCTCATCTTCTCAATTGCTTCAGCGCTCTCACTTCGCCCACTTTTGATGTTCTACTGCTTCATACTGCCATGATATTACATTTGAAATACTTTAGCTTATCCCTGAACATGATTTCTGCAAGAATCCCTCGAATGTAATAAAGATGACTACTCCCATGATTTCACACTAAGTCACAGTGTCATCAAACTAGGCATTTGTTTGTTGCGAATACATTGCGTGTAAATTTATTAAAGATACACACAATTGTTTAGTATTTAAATCATCTCGTTTATTTATATCTTTTTGAACACATTTGCTTAAGTCAGGGAATACACAGAGCATGTCGGAGAACAGAGCAATAACAAGAGTAAGAATCATCAGAAATCAAAGAGAATATTATCTTATACCGAAAAAACAAAACTAACAGAGGGCTACTGTGAGATAACTCAACTTCAGAGAAACTATCCGGAACCGTTTCCAGTCAGAAATGATACGACGAGTTGAACGGAAACAGTCCTGAGCTTAAAAGACGGATGGCGCAGGTGGAAATACTGTCATCTACCGAGCTATAATTGTCATTAATAGTCTTCAAATACTGATAAAAGTCAGATTTTATTGGCCACTCAGGTCTGGTGAGCATCCGTAAAGCACAAACAGCAAGACAGTGTCCAATTGAGCTTAAAGAGATTTGGAAAACCCCATGCATATTTAGCATATATTGCAAGTGCTTCTCTGAAGTCAAGCAGTCTCATACTATTGAGTAATCTTATAGTCATTTATATAAATATCAGTCACCCTGCATCGACAACAATGAGGCTTAATACAAAAGCATGCCGTAGAAATATCACCATTTCCATCATTTAATACCACCATTTCATAGCTATAGTCTTCGTCATTTACACTGCCATCATTTTGGGACAAAAATATTATATATATAGATGTGTGTATATATATATATTTGCACTTAACAAAGCTGGTAAACAGATAAGAGAAAGGTTTAGGCAAAACCAGCATTCAATAGAAAAAAAAAAACGAGAAATCAAAAAGAGAAATAACACCAAACCCTAGTGTTCAAGTGACTGTCATGCAAAGAAATTCCAGCTGAAATGCAAGTAAACGCACTGTGTGTCCTGTTTTAATAGTGATGAGCACTTTCACTCGTTAACATGAGATTTAGGTTGCTAAACACAGAGAGAACAGTACACTTTTTACATGCTGTTTTATAGGGTTTTTTTGTCATTTTGTCATTTTTTCAAGGGAAGGAACAGCTGTGGATCACTCGCATAAACACAGGGATGAGATTAAGCATCCAAGAATGAGACGCAACTGTATCCGAAGCAGAACACCGGAGCACAAACACACACACGTGGCTCACGGGGTCGCTTTCTTTGAGTTGACTTCACAAGATTCCCTCTTTTTATCCATGTGAAAGGCGATTGTTTCAATAACAACAACAACAAAAAAAACAACGATCAGTAGTCATCATTGATATGACGTGGCTCAACGCTAATGAGTGTTCAAACTTAAGAAGTTGCGATAATATCAAATAAATAAATACAACCTGAGGACACAATCAGTCAATAAAATAGTCACATGATGTCACTCTGATCAAACAAACCCTTCTAACGTAGATGGAAAACCAGCGTAAAGTTGCACAAGGTGTGACGCACACTTCAAAATTGTCGCCATCTGAAATATAAAACTATTGCTGCCGATTGCGACTCGTCACTTGATTCTTCCAAACACACCTTGCACTTTGCCCATCCAAAAGGTAAACACGTGTTTAAAAAGGATCCAGGGTTACAAATAGTTCACTCTTCGTAAAAGTTTTGCACGCAGACAACAAACAAAATATATATAAACTCTCAAAAATAGAATGAGTAATATAGTCAACACTATGTTGCGTACAATACAAATGTCAAAAGAAGAGGAGAAGAGCAAATTTAATTAGCTAAACACCCACAAAATCTTCAGCGCTGCCAAATTTAGTTGATTTCTTCAATTGGTTGGCCTCTAAACGCTTTAAACTTTCACTATAACTAGTGTAGAAACACAATGTTTTATATGAGGAGGTCACCTGATTGCCTGCTGAGGTATGGCTTTTATTAAGGTTTAATTGAGTCTGGGCGCTCTCTTAACACCACTGGCTCAGCTGAACACCATGTTGAGTAAAATACAAATGTCAAAAGAAGAGGAGAAGAGCAAATTTAATAAGCTACACAGCACCAAAATCTTCAGTGCTGCCAAATTTAGTTGATTCCTTCAATTGGTTGGCCTCCAAAGGCTTTAACCCTTCACAATGACTAGTGTAGAAACACAAAGTCATTATATATCTTTGTTTATATGAGGAGGTCACCTGATTTGCCTGCTGAGGTATGGCTTTTATCAAGGTTTAATCGAGTCTGGGCGCTTTCTTAACACCACTGGCTCAGCTGAACACCATGTTGAGTAGAATATAAATGTCAAAAGAAGAGGAGAAGAGCAAATGTTTGAAGCTAATCACCACCAAAATCTTCAGCACTGACAAATTCTGTTTATTCCTTCGATTGGTTGGCCTACAAATGCTTTAAACCTTCACAATGACTAGTGTAGAAACACAAAGTCATTAGATATCTTTGTTTATATGAAGAGGTCACCTTAGGTGTGGCTTTTACTCAGGTTTAATCAAGTCTGGGCGCTCTTTTAACACCACTGGCTCAGCTGAACACCATGTTGAGTAAAGTACAAATGTCAAAAGAAGAGATGAAGAGCAAATTTAATAAGCTAAACACCACCAAAATCTTCAGCGCTGCCAAATTGAGTTGATTCCTTCGATTGGTTGGCCTCTAAACGCTTTAGACCTTTACTATGACTAGTGTAGAAACACAAAGTCATTAGATATCTTTGTTTATATGAGAAGGCCACCTGATTTGCCTGCGGAGGTATGGCTTTTATTCAGGTTTAATCAAGTCTGGTGCTCTCTTAACACCACTGGCTCAGCTGAAGACTGAAAATAACGAGAGGAAAAAAACGCAACATCTAATACTAAGGTTGCAATCGGTGTCACGGGTTACATATAAAGCACGACTGTGGCTTTCCGAAAAACCAGGAATTGTTCGCCAAACTGCCAGGAAATCTGAATTATTCCAAACGTGTGGAAAAACACAACGTCTAAAAGCTGGAAGACCCCGAACGTCACGTCGTTCTTGACCAGGCTCTGGTAAAATCTGCCTCAAAACAGTCACACGGGCGCGCGCTAACACACATCATCCACTTATGTCTGAACACACATGGACGGACGCGTCGGTTAGATGTGAATCACATTGAGAAGCCTGTACATAAACGGCGGCCATTATTTCTCCGAAACCACCAAGGAAAGGACAGCCACAGTGGATAATATTGAAAAAAGTCATGCTCTTCCAAAATATCATTTGGAAACGACAAAAAGTCTTAGATAGATGTAAAATCATTGGCATCCAGAACGTGAGTGGTATAAGTGACACGTACAATTGCTTTTGTATTTAATACTAATATAACAACAGTAAGAACAATATTAATCAATAATCATAATCATAATAATATTGAAAACACTTGTAAGAGAGGACGGTGATTCAGTGTAACGTTATTGACACTGGGAAGGTGCGACGGAAAGCATGGCGTTTCACAGACGACTCGCTGAGGCCTTATTTATCCGTATTTAATCAAAGACTGTCCAACTCCACACAGCACATGTGCACGACAAGGGGAGTCTCTGCACGGGTGGAAAGACACGGGGAGGGGTGGGTTGTTGTTTTTTTTAAGGAGGGAGGAGGGCAAGTTGAAGGTAAGACAGAAGACGATGCACATAAGTGATTGGCAGGTGAGGTGATTGACAGGTGAGGGGGCGGGGCCCAGTGTGAGAGGGTCAGGCACTGGCCAGCACTGGGCTCGCTTTCCTTCCTCCCTCTCTCTCCAACTTCCCCCCTCCCTCACTCTCTCTCTCTTTTTCACTCCTGCACTCTCCATTTCTGGCTGGGCTCTCTTGATAGATGTTGCTACAATGAGCTCAACCTGAGAAAGAAAGAACAAAAAGCATTGTTAGCAGTGTGGGTTTCGGTGATGGGAAGTTCAGATCATCTTACTGGCTCAAACTTTGGGTCTTGTCATTTTGAGTCGTTCATTTCATTCAATTTGCCAAAACATTATTAATCCAAATCCAAATGCATCTAAAACTCTACACCGACCACAATCCGCTGTTTTTTTTTAAATAAGATGTACAATCAGAATCAGAGATTAATGCGCTGGGCGTTGATGGCCCAACGTTATAATCTTGAGATCCAGCACAAAAAGGGGCAAGATAATGTCGTTGCGGATGCCCTCTCAAGGGGGTAAATATTTTAAAAAGGTAATCGTTTTTCAAATCATTTTTTTCCCCATTTTATTAATATTTCCTTGTTGGCTTTTGGATGCTTCACCCAGAATCCTCTTCCTTTAGGAAAAAGGATTCTTCTTTTAGGTGGGGGAGTGTTACGGCTGTTGCCTTTCTCTCTAGTGCCTGTCTCTGTGCTTGCATGTGTGTCATGACGTCACTCACTGTTTGTTTCCTATAGAGTCCGCCTTTGCGCACCTGCGGCGAGTTGCGCTTATTGAAATTGGCTATAAATATGGACCATCCTTGAGCGGAGATAGAGGAGACTTCACTGCCAGCCATCAAGCTTCCTTTCGTTTCTTTAATTTACTGTTTTGTTTTCTTTAAGTCTTACTTTGCTCTAATTTGTTAATTGTTGGGTTGTTTAGTCTTTGGTTAGTGTTGTATGTTGTTGGAGAACGTGAGTTATTGATTCTTTATTCATTCTTATTTAGTTGTGACACATTTTTGTTGGGATTGTTTTGGTTGTTATAAATTTATCAATTTAGACAACTTAGTTCATGTGTACTCTTTATGTTGCGTTCCCTTTATGACTTAATTATTTTGATTTGATAAAAAAAAAAAAAGAGTTTGTAACAAGCCCAAACATTGATTGCACTACAAACAAGTCATAACTAGAATGCTATAATAAAGAGAAAAATAATCATTGATTGTTTTCCTAGGTCTTCGGTCCATGGCTGGGTCTGAAATCGCATACTTCCATACTATAGAATACACTATTAACAGAATGTGAGCAGAGTAGCAAGTCCGTTATCATCGTATTCGAAAAACAATATGCGAGAAGTACCTGGAAGACCTACTACTTCCGGCAAGATTCTGAAGTGCGCATTTGATGAACACTGCAATATCCCATGATGCCATGCAAGATGATTTATGAATAGGTGTGAAGCGACACGACTGATGTGGGTATGTCACGTAATTATGAGAAATTATGAAGTGTATAGTAAGTGTGGGATAGAGTGTGTATGGGTATTCCCCAGTGTTGGATTCCAGCTGTAAAGGCATCTGCTGTGTAAAAACATATGCTGGATGAGTTGGCAGTTCATTCCACTGTGGCGACCCCTGATTAATAAAGGGACTAAGCTGAAAAGAAAATTAATGAATGAAGATGATCAAGTACTGCTTCACAAGTATGAGTCCTATTGTCCCACATATCAGCATGTGGCCCACAATAGCAAATGTGATTTTGATTATATAAAAAAAAAAGTTGATATGGAACATGGGCGGCATGGTGGCTCAGTGGTTAGCGATGTTGCCTCACAGCAAGAAGGTCGCTGGTTTGAGCCCCAGTTGGCATTTCTGTGTGGAGCTTGCATGTTCTCCCTTGCATGTTTCCTCTGGGTGCTCTGGTTACCCTCACAGTCCTAAGGCATGTGCTATAGGGAATTGAATAATTAAATTGGCCATAGTGTATGAGTTAGTGTGAATGGGAGACTGTGTGGGTGTTTCCCAGTACTGGGTTGCAGCTGGAAGGGCATCTGCTGTGTAAATCATACTGGGGTTCATTACGCTGTGGCAACCCCTGATAAATAAAGGGACTAAGCTGAAAGAAAATGAATGAATGTATGAATAAGGAACATTTGTGCATATGAAAGCAACATTGTTGTTTAGTCCCTGGATTCATTTGATTTTGAAATAATCGAGTGTGCGAATAATTTCATAATACATTTATAAAGACAATTACTTGACAGGGATATGCCTGGTGGTTTTGGTGCGCTATTTACTTATCTACAACAGATTTTCTGAAATGTGTATTATAGTATAAGGTAAGTAGGAAATATAAAATAAAGATTAAGAAATGCTTATGAATATTAATAAAGTGTCAGGATTGTGCAAGTTTGAAATGCAGCATTACATATTTTGATACAATTTTTTGCTGCTTCATTATTTAGTTTGTTTCATAACCATCTAACTGCTTACATTATAGATGAAAATAAATGTAACATTTAGTTGTGGTTAAATAAACTGCTTATTTAATATGTTATACAGCATGTTTGTGTAACTTTTTAAAATTATTAACATTATACGAAGATGCACCTTCACTGCAGAGGGGCAGCAGGAGCTCCCGAACAGTGGAAATGGACATTCTGCCATTTGGAGTCCCGGCGATGCCACACCCTCGTCTCCTCTGATTGGCTGCTGCGCGGTCGGCCCTGGCCATCCACATACTGTGTGAGGCGGATGTAGGCAATGCAGGCGGCCTCTTCTCCAATCAGGTGCACGTGAGGGTTGAGGATGGTGGTGTGGATGGGCTTACTGTTCTTGGAGAGCACTGCGACGGAAACACCACACACTTCAGATCAGCCATCACAAATAACAGGACAAAAGTGAGAAGCAGTAACACTCACGGTTCTCAAAGTAAAATCTGTGGAAGTCCATCCCCTCCACCAGGTTTCCCAAGGCCTCAGGTTCAAAGCAGGTGAGTCCAGGGTCGCAGATTTTACTGGAAATCCATTAAAACCATTGTTTGAGGGGCATATCTTTTTTGCATCTAAAACTATAATTTTGTATTTAAAACACAATTAACTCACGCATAGGCTTCAAAGTCGCCATTGTTGATGGCCTCAATAAGCTGTTCAGTGATTTTGATGATCTCCTGTTTGCGTGCTGTAAGAGAAAATCAAGTTTTAACAGAAGCAATCTCTTGTACAAATGACGCATCTTCTAATTAAATGCCAAAATGTATTTAAGTTTTCTGAGATTTGCTTTTAATTTGTTTTGTTTTGTTAATCAGTACACACGGGCTGCTCCTTTAAACAAGGCAAACACACGCAAATAAACATTCACCCAAACAGATTTCATCCACCTACACTACATGCTGTTACACACCGCATTTCCTTTTCAGCACTGTTAGTCACAGGACAAACACTATTAAACACTGCAGGTTAAAATGCACCACATTTATGATTAAAAGGCCAAAGATTCTAAAGGCCAAAGAACACCTCAGATGTCATTATTATACTGATATTTCACAGTCCTCATGGTAGTTTTCATCATCAGAAATGGCTGAGGACACAGCTTGTACATGTACAACAGCCCAGGTAGGCATGAAGTGAACATGAAAACAGAACGAGTCCAGTTCTGAAGCAGAAACTAGAACTATATAGGACTCCTGACAACATATTGAGCTGTGTCCATGAAACTGAACATTATTTTTAATATAACTACGATGAGCTAACACTGTTTGTTTGCTTCAGCATCAGTCTACATGTGAGTTTTCTGAAGTCTTTATGCAAATTCATCATTATATGACAGCAAACCTGTTCTCTGGTCTGAACAATTTACTTTCTCAAGATATCGTCAGAAGGCAAGGCTATTCATTTTTGGTCTATTTTTTCGTCTCTCTTTTCATTTTTTTCCTGTTGATTTCAACTCTTAAATGATCTACCGAAGAAATAAGTTCATCCACATCTAAAATGCTCAGACAGCAGTGGTAGACAGTAACCAAGTATTTTACTTCACTACTGTACTTGAGAACATACAGTATTTTAAGTATCTGTCATTTATCAGAGTATTTTTATGAAACTTTTACTTCACTGCATTCCAAAATAAAATTAATAAACACTTGTTTATTCAGCCAAAGTGAAAAACATTTGTTTTATTCAGCCAAAGTGAGTTCAATACACTGATTTAACTGATCTGTTCACAATGAGTCTCCAATAAACAACTCACTTATTCAACTGATCTGTTCAGAGTGAGTGTCCAGTAAACAACTCACTGATTCAACTGATCTGTTCAGAGTGAGTGTCCAGTAAACAACTCACTGATTCAGCTGATATCGTCAGAGTGAGTCTCTGATAAACAAGTCACTGATTCAACTGGTCTGTACAGAGTGAATCCCTGTTTTACAACTTATTGAATCATTTGATCTGTTCAGAGTGAGTCTCCAGTACACAACTCACTAATTCAACTGAGCTTTTTATAGTGAGTATCCAGTAAACAACTCACTGATTCAGCTGATATCGTCAGAGTGAGTGTCCAGTAAACAACTCACTGATTCAACTGATCTGTTCAGAGTGAGTGTCCAGTAAACAACCCACTGATTCAACTGATCTGTTCAGAGTGAGTGTCCAGTAAACAACTCACTGATTCAGCTGATATCGTCAGAGTGAGTCTCTGATAAACAAGTCACTGATTCAACTGGACTGTACAGAGTGAATCCCTGTTTTACAACTTATTGAATTATTTGATCTGTTCAGAGTGAGTCTCCAGTACACAACTCACTAATTCAACTGAGCTTTTCAGAGTGAGTGTCCAGTAAACAACTCACTGATTCAGCTGATATCGTCAGAGTGAGTGTCCAGTAAACAACTCACTGATTCAACTGATCTGTTCAGAGTGAGTGTCCAGTAAACAACTCACTGATTCAACTGATCTGTTCAGAGTGAGTGTCCAGTAAACAGCTCACTGATTTAAATGATCTGTTCAGAGTGAGTGTCCAGTACACAACTCACTGATTTAACTGAGCTTTTCAGAGTGAGTGTCCAGTAAACAACTCACTGATTCAGCTGATATCGTCAGAGTGAGTGTCCAGTAAACAACTCACTGATTCAACTGATCTGTTCAGAGTGAGTGTCCAGTAAACAACTCACTGATTCAAATGATCTGTTCAGAATGATTCTCCAGTAAACAACTCACTGATTCAGCTGATATTGTCAGAGTGAGTGTCCAGTAAACAACTCACTGATTCAAATGATCTGTTCAGAATGATTCTCCAGTAAACAACTCGCTGATTCAATTGATCTGTTCAGAGTGAGTGTCCAGTAAACGATTCTACAGTATTCGATTTTACAAACTGATGTGAATGAGGTTCAGCATTTGAATGTGGTTTCACATGTTTTCTCTTGAATTATCATGAATGATCTTTGTGGTTATAAGAGTATGGCAAGTTTTATAATTCAACTGTACTTTTACTCAAGAGCTTAGTTTATGTACCTCATCCGCTACTGTCAGACAGGGAGTATTTTAATTTTTGGGTGAGCTATTCCTTTAAGCAGCTTTACAAACCAAAGCAAAACATCAAACTCTAGGACACTGGGAAAATTGTAGCAAAACATGCAACAACATTAGTTAAAAACCCCTGCACAATACAAAAGGTATCATAGAGATGCATTTGCGACATACATTACTCGTCTGTGCACACTGCGATGAGATTAAATAACCCGGGGAAATACACACTGTATGCATGTTAGACCGGTAGCATCACTGGCACCTTTTTACACTCCCACAAATTAAAAACAGTCATGCTGCAGTGCCAGTGCAGACACTGACACCACATACTCACAATGTGCTGACGGCAGGGGGCTGGAGGACACTTGGGCAGGGGAAGGGGAGGGGTGTGATGGGACAGATACTGGGGGGGAAAGGGCTCTGCTGGCAGCTGATGGCTCACTGTCTGTCTGCGGGACTGTGGGTCTGCGCACACTGCTCACTAGATCGGTCAAACGTGACACTGGAGCAGTATAAATCGCCCAAGGCAGATGACAGAAAAAGAAAATGCATGAACAGCCATAAAACAGGATGAAACAAATATGTTGGTTCCTCAGTACGGGTCCATCTGGGACTTACTCTGTGTGGGGATGCTGGGGGTCTGGGGAGTAGAGGGGGCAGCAACAACAGCTGGAGTGGTAGTGGTTCCCCCCTCAGCGTCAGATGTGGGCACAGAGCCCCGACGCACCACACCCAGCAGATCAGTGAACTTTGTGGCAGCTGTTGAGCCCAGACGGGGCAGGACACAAATAACAAGAGCAGAGCTGAGCTGGGCTTGCAAGAAGAGCAAAGCAGGCACTACAGTCTTGCATGTAGTGGCAGGAAAGTAACAGTTCAACCAAAAAAATACAAGTTTTTTTCATTATTTCAACAACCTTGTGTCAATAGGAGGGCTGAGGTGGGAGGTATGAGAGAGTCACAGTAGAATAATGGCCTCTCTTCATCTTTTCTTTAGACAAATTAGCTGCATAACTTAAATCTTGCAACATAGCTGTACACTTATTTTATGGATTAATACTTAAATATAATTTAAATATAATATATACATTATACATCAAATATAATACATTTTGCATTTTATTTGTTGGATCCCAGGAAGAATAGTCATGACGCTGGTAATGGCTAATGGGCATCTACAAAAACACTTAATATTTTTATAATGTATTTGGAAGCATACACTGCAGATCAAATGGGGTAGACAAAACATATTTAAATGTTGTTTACCATAAAATTAATGAATAACAGTAGATATAGTTTTAAACTTTTAACTTTTTACAATTTCTAACTTTTAAAGATCCTTAACTATATATTTTCCCACAAACATTAAGCAGCACAGCTGTTTTCAACAGTGGTCCAACCACCACAGATTTCTTTTTAAACCTTACTACAAGATTTTAAAGGTGACATCGGATTAATTTAATACATTTTGTTGTGTGTGTGTTTTTCTTCTGTGTCTGCCTGTTCAGACATTGAAAACATCCCGTTTGTTTTTTATAAACTTTCAGAGTGTTTTTTTTATATGCAATATGATTGACATTTTTGAATTTCAAGGCAGTTTATACTAGCTACATTTACATTTACATTTAGTCATTTAGCAGACGCTTTTATCCAAAGCGACTTACAAATGAGGACAAGGAAGCAATTTACACAACCAAGAGCAACAATGAATAAGTACTAAAGGCAAGTTTCAGGTCTGTAAAGTCTAAGAAGGGAAGTGTTAGTAGTTTTTTTTTTTTTTTTTTTTTTTTTTGTACAATTAGTGTGATATTCAAAGAGGCAATTGCAGCTTAGGAAGTGAAGTGGAGACTAAATAGTTGAGTTTTTAGTCGTTTCTTGAAAATAGCGAGTGACTCTGCTGTTCTGATGCAGTTAGGGAGTTCATTCCACCAACTGGGCAGATTGAGCGTGAGCGTTCGCGAAAGTGATTTTTTCCCTCTTTGGGATGGAACCACGAGGCGACGTTCATTCACAGAACGCAAGTTTCTGGAGGGCACATAGATCTGCAGAAGTGAGTGCAGATAAGAAGGTGCTAGGCCAGAAGTCACTTTGTAGGCAAACATCAGAGTTTTGAATTTGATGCGAGCAGCAACTGGCAGCCAGTGCAAACGGACTAGCAGTGGAGTGACATGTGCTCGTTTAGGTTCATTGAAGACAACTCGTGCTGCTGCATTCTGGAGCAGTTGAAGAGGCTTGATAGAGTTAGCTGGAAGCCCAGCTAGTAGAGAGTTGCAGTAATCCAGTTTGGAGAGAACAAGAGCTTGAACAAGGAGTTGAGCTGCATGTTCAGATAAGAAGGGTCGGATCTTTCTGATGTTATAGAGTGCAAATCTGCACGATCGAGCAGTTCTAGAAATGTGGTCAGAGAAGTTTAGTTGGTCATCAATCGTTACTCCAAGGCTTTTCACCATTTTGGATGCAGTAATGGTTGCCCCATCCATCTGGATTGAAAAGTTATGGTGTAGAGTCGGGTTGGCAGAAACTACAAGCATTTCCGTTTTTGCGAGGTTCAGCTGAAGATGATGATCTTTCATCCAGTGTCTACTACTTTCATCCAGCTACTACTATAAACTTAGCTATCTGTTTACAAAAATTGGCGGGAGGGGGCAAAACAGCTAGCCTCGGTGCCCTTTGTTTTCCTGCAATTGAACAATGAACACTATGCGATCAAAAAAAATTTGGATAGCATAGTGCGAGTGTGCCCTAAGAAACTGGATTTATATGAAAATTTAACTGTAACTACAATGTGTCTGAAACATGCGAGTAATATTTTTATATGTGCAATTTGTGTTTGTTTAGTAAGTTTGGTTATTGTGATTGAATGCCCGTTTCAGTCACTCGTGTATTGAATAAAATCACCATCCTTCATGTGCAGAGCTGTGCTTGTCAGTGTGATGCTGTGGTGCTCACACTTAACAGCAGAGCATGTTAATTACATCACTTTTAATATGCTGTTGGCTTGATTACAGTGATAATGACAGGCTGCAATGTCAAGGAGTGATAAATTATACTTGACTGTTACTGTATACCAGGGGTGTCCAAACTTGGCCCTGGAGGGCTGGTGTCCTACATATTTTAGTTCCAACCCCAATTAAACACACCTGAACCAGCTAATCAAGTTCTTTCTAGGCATACTAGAAACTTCCAGGCAGGTGTGTTGAAGCAAGTTGGAGCTAAACTATGCAGGACACCGGCCCTCCAGGACAGAGTTTGGACATCCCTATTGTATACGCATGGGTGACCACATGATGCAACCTCGCATGTTTTCATCAATGTGGAAACTGCTTCAAATAATTCATGTCAGCCATACAGACACAATTCAGCAGAAAAGAGAGTCTTGGTTGAGCGCTGTGTTTGTGCTGTGCTGGTTTAGCTGCTCAAGACATAATAGTTTTTGCAGACTGCTGTATTTTTGACAGGGTAAAAAGTGTTTATTTACACTAACATTGAGAAATGTATTTAAAGTATAGTCTTTTCATTAAGACGCTAAAGAATCATATCAATATCATATGAAAAATGAGCATCTGATGTCAACTTTAAATAAATTACGACTAAATTTCTTAAGTTTTTGGTTGAACGGTCTCTTTAAATAAATCCAAGGAAACCACTTATAAGACTAGATTTGATCAACCCACATTCCTGGAGCTCCTCAACACTGTACACTTAATCATCACCTGAATCAAGCACACCTGATCCAGGTCATCACCTCATTAGGAAAGTCAACAAGACTTAAAATGGGTCAAACGGGTTCCAAGAACGTGGTTGAGAATCACTGAATAATAATATTCAAACCAATGAGAACTGTAAGGCAGAGTGATCCTGCTTCTCATAGATAAATATGACTGTAATGCCACTCATTTACTGCTATTAATTTACATATTTAGATGTTAACGCTGGCCTGTATCTCACACACATGCACGGGATGATGAGTGAAGTGGGTGGGGTCATGAATCACTTACTGAAGACAGCGGGGGCGGGGCCTTGAGGAGTGTGGGTGGGGTCAGGCTGGGGGGCGCTGGGGTTTGACTGAACTGAACTGTTATCTACAACCTTTCCTGTGACAAACACCCCGACAGCGCACAGAAAGACAGAAAACAAGGGTCACACTGACGCCAATATGAGTGCCTTTTCCAGCGCCAGAGATACCAGGTGCTTTTATGAGAAGTGTGGACAGCTGTATTACAAGTGATGAATTAAGATACTATCGAGATAGTTTAAAACAATTTTAACTGAAGACAAGAACAACTTACTTGACAATCAAAATATTGATTTTACAATAGTTAAAATGGAAAATGTATACTAAAATGTATTTAGTTCTGTACATAAGCACAAAGAAACAGACATAAATATTGAAAAACAGAGAAAACTTTAAAGATTGAGTTTCTTTGGATTAAATGATGTTTGAGTAAAACGTTTTTATTCTTCTTCAAGCTAATGGCGACATTATAATTCATTTTTTATTAGAAAAATACACTGAAAAAATGGTTCATTGCAAACAATTTATACAAGCGGAATTTAAACAAACAAATAAAATTAAAAATTGCTACATTTTATTTTTCAAAGTAAATTTAGTAAATCCAAATAATCCTTTTTTCAGTCTATGACAACAGTTAAAATAACAACAAAAGACTGTGTTTTCAATATTTAGTGGAACAAACCTGATAACCTCAATAACAACAAACAAAATATTTTTCATTTAAAAGTTTAATTTTTGTGAAGAAAATCTCTAAATGAAATGATTTCTACTTCTGTTTAACACAATCTTACAAACCTTTATAGAATAAAACAAATTTTCAGAAATTACTCAAATCCATAGCAATTAAATCTAAAAAAAAACTAGTCATTTAAGTGATCTCTAAATTTTCCTGATAGCTGCATATCCTGTGCATACACATATGTTCCAATTACATAAACCATATTTTATAATTAATTATACTATGAATCTAATTGATGCAAAGAATTGCAAAGCAAAAGATGACGACCCAAACGTAATCCAACAGTATATGAACAACAACACACAGACACTTACTAAATCAAATCAATCAATAAACAAAACCACAAACACGATTACCATAAACAGCATGCTAGAAGGTTGCAGATAGAGTTTGAAGATGTTGCTTCAAAAACGCAGACTTCAATATGAACATACATGGTACAGTTTTTATAAAACAGCTACTCCAGCAACAGTGCTTTACAGTACCGCTAGCCTAGATGTTACACAGCTAACCTCTCACAGCTGCGCCATCATTCATCACTCAACTAATGCAGCCAGATATTTTCCCAGCACCACCTAAAAGTAACACACACACACTTCTCACCGTCTCTTTTGTGTGATCTCGAAAACAAGACATCACGCTCCTGTCATGCACACTGTCTGCCCAGAAATTTGGCGGCAACTTTTCTCCTCATGCGCACACTTGCACTCATGCTCTAAAATAGCCAGGGTCTCTGTTTCCTACTGAGGGTAATTATAGAACAAGGTGCCCTTGCCTTGTTCTGGGGCAGAGAGAGCTGACACACACACACACACACACATAGTAGGAGCGACATCAACCCAGAACAGAGTTTCTTAGCCCTAAAGTGAGCACTGAACGAGAGCAGGTTAAACATTTCCAGCAAATTCCTCAGTAAAACATTAATGAGGTAAACCTAAAATGTTAAGACTTTTGTTAATACTTCACATACTGTACAGTACTGTAACATTTATGAGTTTGAAGTCAATAACGTTTACATTTTTGAAAAAGCAAGGCTGTATTTATTAGATGCTTTATATTTAATGGCATTTATTACTGTGAAACTGCAGAAGCCATTTTAGATTTCTAAAGCATTTCAACATGTAGCTAAGATGCTAAAGGCTAATACGTTTAACTTGTTGACATCTTATTTTCCTGATCTGTTTTAGTATATGCCATGTTTCAGCATGATGCTATCATGAATCGTTAAAATATTTCTAACGTTTTAACACATGGCTTGCATGTTCTAATGTGTTGCTAGCATTAATTATCATACTGCTAACATGTTTCTAAGACATTTTGCTCGCATGCATTAACATGTTGCTGCTGATGACAACATTAACATAACATTACTTGGTTTCTAACGTGGTTAGCACAATGCTATCAACAATTAGCAAGTGCCAGTCAATTTTAGCATGAATTTGTTTGCTGCTAACATTGCCAACCATGTAACGTGTTCTACGTTCTAGCAGCTATTACTTTGAACTGTAACATTTTAAACTTTACATATCATATAATATCTAAACATATATATCATTTCTAAAAATCACATCTTCACTGCCTCTTTTAATGTAAAGAGCTGTTGAGGTCATTACTGTTTACATTTTTGCATAATACATTGGATGCATAATATTGAATAGCATGACAGTGAAACTGCAGAAGACATTTATTTAAGTTTTCTAAAACCTTTCAGCATGTATTAGATGCTTAAGGCTAATATGTTTAGCTCGTTGACATCTTATTTTCCTAATCTGCATTAGTACATGGCCAACATTTTCAGCATGATATTAGCATGAATCTTTTTAAAGTAATGAATCTTTTTACAAGTTTTAACACATGGCTATCATGTTCTGACATGTTGCTAGCATTAATTAACATACTGCTAACATGTTCTAAGACATTTGACATTTTGCTGGCATGAATTAACATGTTGCTGCTTATATACATTACCATTATTATTACTAACATGGTTAGCACAATGCTATCAAAAATTAGCAAGTGTCAGCAGATTTCAGTATAGATTCATTTGCTGCTAACATTACCAACCATATAACATGGTTTAACATCAAGACGTTCTAGCAGCCATTATTCTGAGCTATAACATTGTAAACTATATATAATAAAATTTCTAAACATATATATAATTTCTAAAAATCATATCTTTGCGGCCTCTTTTAATGTAAAGAGCTGTTGGGGTCACCACTGATTACTTTTTTGAAAGCGGTCTTTTATGATTAGCAAGGCAGTACTAATAAGATGCTTTATTTTTAATAGGATTTAATCCTGTGCTTTTTATTAAGAAGCTGAAGGCTAATATGTTTAGCTTGTTGACATCTTATGTTCCTAATCTGTTTTAGTTCATGGCTAACATGTTTCAGCAAGATGCTAGTATGAATCGAGAAGACTTTTCTAAACTTAACACATGGATTTCATGTTCTAACATGTTGCTAGCATTAATTATCATAATGTTAAAATGACTTTCATGTTCTAACGTGTTGCTAACATCAATTAACATGCTGCTAGCACGTTTTTAAGATGTTTGACATTTTGCTGGCATGAATTAACATGTTTCTGCTAAAATACATTAACACACTAACACATTTCTAACATGGCTAGCATAACGCTATCAAAAATAAGCAAGTGTCAGCAAACTTTAGCGTGATTTAGCGTGCTGCTAACATTTCTAACCACATTTTTAACGTTCTAGCAGCCATTGATCAGACCCATAATACCTTAAATTATAAAACAATGCTGTGGTGCGTGTTCCATACAAAAGATGAGGTCTTACCTTTCATTTCCTCATCCTCCACTGTGGCATTACTGCTGTCCGACGACTCCTGTGATGTTCAGACACAGAGCACAACATATTAACATTTTTTGCTAAAAGAATAACAACCGTTGCCAAAGTCGTTACTCTCATTGTCATCCACACGCCATACATGAAGATGTAAACAGCAGAACTCTGGGGAATCACACACTCAATTATCTGTTCACTGATGCACGTCAATGTCAGCATGACTGTTAGAAGAGGCTTGTTATACTGGTTATCGTCCCACCTCACAGACATGATAATATTACACAAAGAAATGAATTCTTTGAAAAACACATTCTTGGCCTTCAACACTTTATCACTGCATACTGAATAACATTTATTTTGCATTATGTAAATTCATGTTCTTGATGTTATATGTGATTTGATGGGCTTCACCAAGCATTTTTAGATGTTCTGAAAGACTAAGAAATTTTAAAAAGGTGTTGTTTTTTTTCCAGTTGAACAATATGCCATTTTGGAACACATGTGTTTGTCCAATTTGGTTTATGCAAATATGAAAAAGAATTGCATGTTTTTCACATATAAAATGATTGAACACATGAGATATTGCACAAGACTTGCAATAGCAATAGTAAGTGAGTATTGGTATTGTTAACAAAAGCTTGTAAAATCTTCGGTTTCTTTGGATGAACTGGGATTTTTAGGCATGGATTTTAATAAAAATTATATTTGATTAATTGTGCAAATGTCTGATAATATTTCTTCCAAACTTAAAGGTGCAGTAGGTGATTGTCTTTAGAAACATATATTGTTTTTGTGCTGGTTGAAAGTCTCTTCACATTCCAATAGTAATGATTAAAGTAAATGATCTAAATGTATTTAGATCTATTTTTATATTCTGGATAAGGCATAAGACTGAAAAATGTTGAAAAAAAAGACTGAAAAATGCCGATAAATCTCATAATTCTGATAAGTAGCCCAAACTGCCTGTCAATTGAATTCAATTCATCTTTATTTCTATAGCGCTTTTACAATGTAGATTGTGTCAAGGCAGGATAACACAAAAGATTATAGTAAACTAAAACTGTGTCAGTCCAGTCAGTAAATGTAGATTTGTATAACTGTGCACCGCTGTTCACGCAGACCCGCGGATGCATGTTCCCGTGGACAAAGGTGACAGCACTAAAAACAAATGCTGAATCAACTTTTAAAAATCCTGAATCAATATTGGAGTTAGTTTTGCATGCTGGAGGAAGGACGACACCATGGCTGAAGTATTTCTATTAGACGGGTCATGTTACTGTATGTTTTAAAAGTATTTTGGTCACGCAAATTTGATGTAGATTGTGTTATTACAAATGGGCTATTTGCACAAGTGTTGCTCAGCCACTAAAATCTTCTGGCGATAGATTGATGTGACTATTTTCAGTTTCATAAAGTACCTTTTACATCATCGATAATGTAGATTTTTATTTAATCTAACAACAAAACATCAGTAAAAAGCACTATTCTGCCTAGCCTGCATTACTGAGGTGAAGTTGGTTTTATATTCACATTGTTTTATGTTTGAACATTGACAACCTGTGATGTGCTTCCTATATTTTTTACCATGCTACTCTGAATTTTGTCTGAAATAGCATGTAAGTTTGGTTTAGTAATAAGTGTAATTCATGCACAGCCAAGCATACAGTAGTCGCTTTAGGACAGCGTGCGAGAAAGTGAGAAGAGCGATCCTTGTATGCATGAAACATTGCACATTATGACAAGTTTTACTTGCTAACTACACAACTGAAAACATGCTAGATACTATATAATAGTTTTTCGTTCAGAATTGTAGTATTATAAAGTACTATAAAGTTTTCTAACTGGCGAATGACATGATCTGGTGGGTCTCTGTCATCTTTAATGACCGCGTTCGCATGATTTCAGGAGGTGTGGTTTGGATGGTAGGGGAGGGATTGTATTTGAAAGATATCATGCTAACCAGTTAACATTTAGGCAGAGCACCTACTGCACCTTTAAGATAAACGTCTTTTTTTTTTTTCAGAAAATGACAATTGGTTGAAATAATAAATGCTGCATTTGTTGTTGTGATGACAATCAAGGTTATTCCAACAAAATGTAGATTTCTTAATTTGTTTTCAACTAAAAGACAAGAAAACGTGCTAATTAAACATTACTGAACAGAAAAGTATTGGTATAACTGGCCTAAATAAATTATTTAAAAAATACTGCATACTTCTGTCCTATGCAGATTTTTTATTGTTCCTTTCTGCATGATAGATATCCCAAATAGAGTTAATATATGGTTTTACTAAGCAAGAAGGCACAGAAGGTTATGCTGCATTGAGAAAAGAGTCAGAGCTGAGGGGTTTGCATTGCAACAACACCTTGAGGCAGTAGACATTTCCACAGTACAACACATCCACATTTGCTTTCTTGCTCAATTGAACACTTTGACAGGCTAATGTCTCAATAGAAGAGCCGGAACGGGATTTGCACCTGTCAGCGTAACGCTAGCGTTCACCAAGGACACCGATCCCGCTGTAAATAGGCCATCAGTATGTGGGACGATATTATTAGGTGCTCCTGAAAAGGCTTTTGTTCTCTCATTCCATCATCTATGCTGCACCTCTACAGAGAAAGTGGCAGATGTGGAAATGTGGACAGGCACGGGTCTGATTGCTCATTTTATCAAGCAGCAATTGGGCCCAAGAAATCAAACAAGCTTTACTGCTGACGATTGTTTACTTTTTACATCCACTTAAACAGTATATCAGGCTTTCTTCAATAAAATATCTGAACAGAAATTCCATATAATCATTTAATACATTTACATTCAGGGTTCACACTCTTGGTCAAATATTAAACTCTTTGACTGTTTCTTGGCTAAAAAGTTAAATTTTCATGGCCTATACTGAACTGAAAAACAAGGTGTTTTGTGATATTCACACTATTAAAATAGTTTGATTTGTAATTTCATTATTAATGAATTTAACAGCCATCATACGAGCAACAATGGAAAATTTACTCCAGGTTTTGAAAATAAATTAAAAGAAGAGTGAAACTAGTCTAAAAGTGGTCATTTTGTGACCATTTTGTCGAAATGTTTGCCTTAGTTGACATGTAAGTGATTGCCAGCTGATGTGTGGGAAAAGAAATAAAATAAAAAATAAGTCATTACAACAGGCAAAATGTGTGAAACAACGTGTTAAAAATAAGGATTCATTACAAAAGAAAAACAAAAGTCCCAGATATCACATAACTTGGACAAAAAAGAAAATATAATAGTTACATAATAACATAAAGGTCTTTTAAATTTACATGATATTGCAGAAATTCCAAGTGGGAATCCTGATATTGACTTATAGTTAAATTGATAAGAATTGTCTATACATCATTTAGAATAAGTCACTGTTAATCTTCAAAGATGCCTCTTTTAGTTTAGTTCCACTCACAAGCTCCTTGCAAAAAAAAAAAAAAAAAAAAAAGATAATCAGCAAATGACTGCCCATTAAACACTGAATAACTCTAAATGCATTTTACCATGAATTTAAAGCATTTAAATAAAAGAGTTTTACTTAAAAGGTGCCTGTAATTAAATAAAAATATTGTTATATGCAGCGGGCAGGTACAACTAAATTTGAACACTTCAAATCCACAAACTAATCACTTAATCACATAATAGAATAAAATATACATTTCAAAAGAATAAAAGTTAATAAATACACATTACAAACATTGTCAAGACCTGTTATTTTGCACTGTTTTAGAAGAATCCCACTTAACCTTTTTTTAATTAAATTTTAACCCCATCATCCTATTAATTGAGAATTTGAATAATTTTATGACATACTTCAAAAAATAAAGATGATTTAGTATTCAAAAATGTTTTATTTAGATTATGTTTTGAAATAAATTAGTCTTACACTTTATATTTTCATAGCATATCTATTAATTTAGGTTTTTTTTTACCATAAACCAACATAAACCATTTGGTAGTGGCTGACATTTTAGAAATTATGGGATGTGTTAAAAAATGCATTGATTGTGTTAACTAGGAACATTAGGAGTGCAATCCAAAATATTCTTTCTATTGCATTTTTTCCTCAGTGGGGCAGTTAAAGGGTTCCGCATAATCTAAAAAAAAATATGTGCAAAAGTATTTTCAATATTTTTACAAACTAAGTAAATAATACATTTTTAAAAATGACAGATAATGTTTTAGTTGATACAGAAATAAATACACAGATTTGTTTCTATTCAGTACATCCAATTACAGACACCACATTACTATATGATTTTGTTTGTTATTTCTCTTCCATTAACAGGACAAAAAAAAAAAAAAAAACATTACAAAAATGTTAACTAATACAATCTAGAGCAGAGATGTCCAAACTAGGACCTGGGGGCCAAATTTGGCCCATGTTAACCTTTAATTTGGTCTGCCATCCCATCCGAGAAGAGAGGGAGAACGATGAGGATGGCTTTGAGAATGTCAATGCAAATTTAATGTAACCCTTTTTTATTTGTTTGTTTATTGCTGAAAGTAAATGTTTTAACTAAGTTATGTAAATGAATCAGATTTAGTTTAAATGTACATACTGCACGGTTTCTTAAAATCAAATTTAAGACTAAGACCCTTTTAAGATCATTATGAATGAAATTTTAGACTTATAGAGGGCTAAACATTAAAGATTTTTTCTAATGACCTGGTTACTTCTTTAAATAGTTTTTGTATTAATGGAAGATCATGTAAAGAAATGCCTTGCATTAGTTTTCTTTCCATGATTAGGGAATTTAATTTGGAAAAAAAATGCTGTACAAAGGTCTAACAGCTGTTGTGAATTGCATTTCTTTGAAAAAAACAAAAAAAACTTTAATATATATGTAAAAAGTTTTGAGATGGATTATTGGTGATTAGGTGTCAGCCCTAACTAGACATGGGGAAATTAAGACCTATGCAATATTTCAGTGAATTTAAGACTTTAAGGCATAAAATTTAGTTTTGAAATTTAAGACCTCGCTGACACCCTGATACTGCCACCTAATAACCCAGAGACTTTGGTGAGCAAATCAAGTCAAAGGCAGATTCTGCTTGACTAGTGTATTCAGCATTGAACTCATCTATGTTATAAATGTGATTATGTTTTTATTGAAATGATTTATCATTTAAAAAATTATACTGAATTAGTTAATACCATTTAAAGTAATGTTTCCTATTTGTTTTGCAATATTATTAAAGAACTTAGGAAATTAGCCATGGCAACTTTAATGTAATATACTGTACTGTAGTTTGCTATATTTACCTTCGGCATACAGCTATCAATGATATTTTGTTTTTGGCCCTTCATACGAAAAAGTCAGAGCACCCCTGATATGGAAAGACCTTGTTTTGGCAAGCTTCACTTTCAGCGTCCACCACAAGAGGTCTCTACGTCACACAGCTGAAGCGCTGAGATCTGAGACAGCAGCTTTAATATTCTTATCATGACACAGATTTCCAACTGTTGCTCCTCAGCTTCATGTTGCAAACATCTGATGTGTCGAGAGCCATTTCCCATCCTCACGATCATGAATAAAAATCACTACTCAAGACCGTCAATTCAACTCAAACCACCACACGCTTCTAACACTTCAACGCCACATGCATTTCATTAACCAACACGTACTCATTTGCATGTCACGTTTGGTTAAAAGCTGCAATTTGTTATCAGTCAAACACCAGTTCGCGTTAAACTTCAAAAGGGGGCACGCATGCACAAGCTCGGATGATGTCATCGTCTGTAGTCACACCGGCAGAAATGCATTGTGGGGGTGCAGATCAAACAGAGGAAAGGCGAGATGATGGTGGTGGGTACCTTAATCCCATCCACTGCATTATGGATGACAGTGGTCTGTGCCTCCTACAGAGCGACAGAGGAGGAGGGGTGGAAAAACATGAGTAGAAAAGAGAAAGAGAGAGACTGTGTGTGTGTGTGTGTGTGTGTGTGTGTGTGTGTGTGTGTGTGTGTGTGTGTGTGTGTGTGTGTGGGTGGATGTGTGTTTGTGATTGCCAACCCAGGGAGAAAAAAATAAAAATAAATAAAATGTATCAAACCAACAGAGGTTTGATTCTGTTTTCATCCTACAAATGACAGCACATGGCAAGCTTATATTTCAAAACCACCAACTAAGAACTCCAAAGAATATCCATGTAAATAAAAAAGGGAAAAACACTGCGCCTGAGAGAGCGTGATTTGCATAGAGTAGTTATCGCAGCTTCTGAAATCACATGTTTATTTTATGCCGTTCGTGTCAAGTCCGGAAAGCTGCTAGCTAGACGCACATCAGAGCGCATGAATCTGTAATGGCTAGTTCTCTCTCGCAGGAAGTAACATTCCCTCAATGTCCAATCAGCAGCCTGCATTCCCCATCATTATGAGGTCTTCACTGCCATGACAACCGTTGCCTGTGCAACATGCTTACGTTACAATGAACACTGACTGATAGGGTCCCAATAAAGAATAGGTCTCAAACTAGATTCCTGGAGGGCCGCAGCTTTGCACAGTTTTGCTCCAACCCTAATCAAACACAGCTGTTCCAACTAATCAAGGTGTTCACTAGAGACTATTAAGCAGGTGTGAGTTGGAGGTTGCTGGAGCTAAACTATGCAGAGATGCGGCCCTCCAGGAATTGAGTTTGAGACCATTGCTATAAAAGCGTTCACTACAGCCTATCCAATGTTAAGATGTGACTTACAGAAAACTGGGTCCAAAGTATCTAATCAGCTGAATTGAGAAACTCTCATTAGCCATTTATGACTAGTAATTAATCACAAATGAAAGCAAATCTTTTATAAAATCGTGGTGTACACTCCAGTCTCTGGACTTGCTGCTTCCCAGACACCCATATTTTCATTATTTATAAAAGATGAATCACCGTCTGGCCATCTGAGATTATGGCATGGATATAAACAGCCTGATCATGATGTTCAGTAGTAATAAAGCACAGTGTGAGCGTATATTAGTATCAATTGTTTTTCGCTTATTTATACGTTTATCTAAGATTTTATGCCTTTGGGACTCTTATTTTGAATATGGTAGATGCATAAAGAGTAAATGAGCTTTCTGTAAAACAGGCAGATATACATCTCATCTGTTCACAGCTTGTCAGAACCCAAGATGCAGGATATACAGATTATAAATGTATTCAGTGCGTCTGCAGAGAGGTCTGTTTAAATGTATCATTTGTTAGTTTAACATGTATATTGCAAACTTTGGGGAATGTGTTTGTAATAAGACAACAGACGAATGTAAACTGCTGACTATAAGTGTTTAGTGCACATTCATGCATTGTTTTATATGACTCAGCTCTTACGGTGATTTTTCCTGAATGAAAAGATGCCAATGAACTTTTGTGTGTGTGTGAGTGAACTTTGTAAGGACATTGTGTATGACTAATCATTGCAGAAAGGCTTAAATTAACTCTACCACAAATACATCAAATAATCATTGGGGAAGTCCTTACTGTAGTATTTCTCACAAACGTTACTTGAGATCTGCTTTCTTCTTGTCTGGCACTGTACTGTTTATCTAACACAGCAAAGGTGGAGATTGAGGGACACTCTGACAGGCACGTGGGAGCAGTGGGCCGGGAAAACTAGCCTTTAGGGCCCAGGCAACAAAAACAGCTAGTGTGTTCAGAGAAGAAAACCCAATGTTCTAAAAGGTAAAGGAAATAATCGAATGGGTGTTTTGAGCGGACACATTCTGGAGACACAAAATACTCATCTTAAATCTTAAAAAGGGATTAAATAGGTGCCTTTTAAAACAATAAAATACAACTCTGTCAGTTGCTCTTCTTAGAAATTATTATAATCTACCTTATATTTTATTCACAACCCATAGCAGTAATGAATGAGTAGACTTAGTTGCCTAAAGATAGCTCACTCACTCCTAATGTGAATGTCATCGCCACTACAGTTTGTTGATTGTCAGTTGACAAGGCATCTACTGCGCTTGCTGAAATATTTTTTTGACAACTGAAGTATTACTAATTTGCATATGTGCATTTTAGAGCACATCATGCTCTATGTGCGTCTGTGTGCACGCAAGTGTCAGGTACTGACAAGCTGCAAAGCTGCAGAACTGAGCTCATTAATATTCATGAGTGTTCCAAATATGGTCAAAACCAAGCTTATCATTCTAGGGGTAATTCCTCTGGTTGTAAATAAGCAAATAAAACTGTATCAAGAGAATATTTGAGCTTACCTAAGCATCATACTATGTGAATCTATCATGTAAATATAAAATAATTGAACATATTGAATCAATGTTTTCTATAGCACCCTTAAATATATATTTTAGTGACAATTTCACAATATAAAATCAACAAAAGTAGAGATAAATGTCTGCTGTGGTGTTTAATATAAAATGTATATGGTTAGATAAAAGGTCTTAATTTATTGAACTGCAATCATGCTATATGTATTTTAAGAACTTGGTTCTAAGAAAATAATGGCTCCTGTAAAATCATTACAACTAAGACATAAATATCAAATACTGTCATGGCTACTAATGACAAATATCATTTAGGTCTACGTAACTGTTCAGTTAATAGTAAAGCTGAAGGGGAAGCTATGAAACAAAGCACTAAGGCTAGAGACTTTACTGACCATAAACACCTCCTCGCTTCACTTCAAGGTTGAGTAACTATATCTGCAACATAAAACACCACACACACTTGCGTAGAACACAAACTCTACACTGGCAGCATTAAAGGGCAACTATGAGGGGTCCTAAAATATTCTGATGTATTGGACCACATGTTGCAATAGCTCTATATGTTGAAACACATGTCATGCTTCCATTAGGAGCTTCCTTTATTCCTCTGGCTCACTCTAGAGCCTCTTTACTGAGCTTTAACAGACCACAGAAATCCACTAAATTCACCACAGAACACAGACCGCCTGTCTATCGATGTCACTCTAGCTTGTCATTAAATCTTGAATTATTGCGTCACACATGTACCCACCACCCTGGCATAATAACACATTGTTTCATTAATTTTCCTGCCAGCTGCTCACAATAAACAGCCTTCTGATCAAAGCAGACACTGAAAGGCAAACTGGCATTGTGCAATCAAATAAACAACCTCATAAATTAGTTACTGGAGTGTACAGTAATCTATCAGAATGACAGACGCAACTGAATAAATACAGCTTAACTGGGTTCATGGGCTAATGCATCAAACATATAGGACTGAAATCACAAAAGTGATCACTGCAAGGTTTTAGCTTACATTAGAAGAGTTAAGAAGCCAATATTTGGTAAAAAAAAAAAAATCTTTTTTTTTTTTTTGCCACAGACATACCACCCTGCAGCCCAAGACCGGTTAAGCAGGGCTGGGCTTGATCAGTACCAGAGCATATGGGAAAACTAGGTTGCTGCTGGAAGTGGTGTTAAGCCTGGTTTATACTTCTGCGTCAAGTGATCGGCGTAACCCACGGCGCATGCAACGGGCGTAGCTGTGCATTTCTACTTCTGCATGCTGTCTCTGTTGGTCTGCATTAACATTTCCGAAACGCTAGTTGGCAGTGAGGTGTAAATGGTTCTCTGTGTCGAGTTTCTTCGCTGCTGTTTTGCTTTTCCTGAACATTTGCTTTTCCGGGATGTACAAGTGGCTCAAACTCGCTCATTTTGAGGCAGGAACCGGCGGACATGCAACAACTTTAACTATGAGTTAAACACAAAACAAAACTTTCCATCCGGAGCTCCTTCGCGGGACTCCACACTTGTAAACAATCGCTCCATCAGGCTCGCATCATTCACGCGGCTCTCGGTCCCGCCCAGACTCATCAGCGCTACCAAGGCGACCAATCACGAGCTTCCGCTATGCGTCGTTGCGACGTGTAGTTACATTTTTTGAGAGGTGCACGTCAGCGACGACGACAGCGAAGGGCTATGCGTCAGCGCCGTAGCATATGCCGGCGTTTGACGCAGAAGCATAAATCAGCCTTCAGTGAGGCCAGCAGGGGGGACTCAAACACTGGTCTGTGTATATCCTAATGCCCCAGTAAAGTGAAGGGGACACTATACTGTCAGTGAGAGCTGTCTTTCGGATCAGAGGCTAAACCGAGGTCCTGACTATCTGTGGTCATTAAAAATCCCATGGCACTTCTCATAAAGAGCATGGGTGTAACTCCTGTGTCCTGGCCAAATTCCCTCCATTGGCCCTCACCCATCTCTGCCTTCCAATCATCCCCATCCACCGAATTGGCTTCATCACTGTCCCTCCAATTCCCCATATAGCTGGTGTGTGGTGAGCGCACTGGCGCCATTGTCCTGTGGCTGCCGTCGCATGATCCAAGTGGATGCTGCACACTGGTGCACTGGACCCCCCTTATGATTGCACTATATTAATACACATTACATTAAATGTAATCACAGTCAATGAAAATATTTGTTATTCTGACAAACCTTTATTAAAAACCACTATCTAATAAATACAAAGAGATTATTAAGAGGTCAAAACTATGACTATTTTCTTTAAAATGGGCACACAAACACAAAAATCCTGAAGTAAGCTGCACTGCTCACAACACTACACTCAATTGACATCTATACTATGCTCAGTGGGTCTATGCAAGTAAACACAATTAAAGATCTCAGTAAACAAAGCAACATTTCTTACCACTGCACTCAGAAAACTGTAAGAACCCTTTAAGGGCTGACTTTTCCCCAGCTGTTTAAATTCAGAGACATAACCAACTTTTCCTGTTCAATTTTGTGTTTTTTGTGAGATTTTGACCTTGGGTGTATTTGACAGCTGACACAAAACTGAACCTAGTTTAATACATACTGCATATCTGATAGCTAATTGTTTACTGTATGTGCATTCTTCATGACTATACAGTATGCTACGAAAATTGTATTTCAGCAGTTTAAACTAAAAAAAGCTTTAAAAGGCATCCAGATATTTAGCTTGTTGATACCTGAGTAACTAAAGGCTGGTTTATACTTCTGCATCAAGTGATCGGCGTGACCCACAGCACATGCCTTGCACGTTGCAGTGCATTTATACTTCTATGTGCTGTTTGTTCTTCAGAAATGCTAGCTAGCAGTAAGGTTATGTTCTTCAGTGTTTCTTCATGATTTTTTTTTTCTGAACCTTTAAAGTACAAGTAGCTAAAACTCACTCATTCAGAGGTAAGAACAGTGGAAGTGCAATAACTTTAATTATCAGGTAAACACAAAACAAAACTTTCCATCTTGGGCTCCTTCACGGGACTCAACACTTGTAAACAATGGTTCAAACCGGTTCACGCGGATCGGTCCCACCCTCACTCGTCAGGGCTACAAGCCGACCAATCAGTCCTTGCATTATGCTTTGTTGCGAGATGTAGTTACATTTTTTGAGAGGTGCATGTCAGCCACAATGTGGGCTATGTGACCGCACGAAGGCTGCGCCGGATCATACTCATGTGATGATTGCAGAAGTATAAATCAGCCTTAATGCACAAGCTGTAAAATCTTCACCCTCCTCTAGAAAAAATGGGGGTTGGGGGTGGTGGGGAAGCAGCATTTTTTGGTGCACAAACATAAAAAACAGCATATTTATGCTTGAACCCTAAAAATAGTCATTTCTAGTATGGCTTACTAAAATGGTGAGTGAGGTATTTTGCAGACTCCTTTGCAAACTTTACAGACACAGACTCCTTAGTAGGCTGCACAATTAATCCAAAGTGATTTTCATGTGCATTTTGGCAGTAAAGCTGGCTAAGTAAACTGTATTAAATCTCCATCACCTGCTTTCAAACAATAAATCCACAAATAATAATAATAAATAATAATAAATCCACAAGATAATCTGCAATTTGACAGCTGTTTGCACCGCTTCTCAGTGAACTATGGATGTGTTTCTGCAAGACCTGAAAGCATGTGAATTCACTACACTTGTTTTTACTCCAATCTCTCCACATAACTTCTGTCGATTCTGTGAGATGATTACATAGTTGTGTTCATTAGTCTCATTCAATCAAGAGATAAAACCCTCAGCTCTGTTTGATTTCCAGTTTCTGCATGGTAACATCCTTCAGAGAAGATTTACTGTTGATCACAGTTAACTGACAGGATGTGCATGAGAATCGCAGCTTTTAATGAATTGCGATCTAGATTTCATTTCGATTAATCATACAGGCCTACACCTTAAAATATTACATCTTATTAAAAAAGCATAACAGGACCCTTGTAATAAAGGTCTTTAACGGCTCCTATATGCAATAAAAAACATAAGAAAACTAAAATGCATTTAAGATGTACTAAAAAATGCAGGTTCAGTCAGAGACAAAGAAGGTAGAGGGAAAGGAATGGAGTGGAAGAAACGAAAAGGATTAGAGAGGTAAATACCAGTGCAGGAGAGGGGAGGTTTCCCTTGGGACTGGTGACTATGCTGTTTTTGGTGCTGTTTGTCTGGGGCTGTGCAGGGAAACACAACACACATTCGGTTAAGTAAAGGTTAGGTTAAAGAAGAACGAGGGAAAGATCGGCATGCACATGTGCACTCACACACACAAACAAACACATGCGGTAGGACTCATTATCTATTTTAAGGTAAATGACTGACGTAATGCCAACTGCTTATTCACACAAAAACAACGCTATTCGTTAAAACACAATGTTCTCTAGCAGCAAGAGAGAAGGGAGGGTCATTATAAAAGTCCATAAAATGCTTTTCACCAATTAGGCTTCCTAAACTAATCCATTAACCCAATTAGCCACATTACATGCAGAGGAGGATTAGCTATGGGTGTTTATTTGTATTCAGGGTCCCTCAGGTCTCACGTCTATGAGCCTGTGATGGTATTGAGGCAGCTAACAGGCCACTTTCCCTCGCACAGCTTGGGCACTCATATGAGAAGTGTCATTAGTATGACCAAGAGAGACGAATGAACAGCAGCTCACAACTTCTGCATTTACAAACAGAATATAAACCCATTTACACAAGCGCATCACAAACTGGCAGAATGGACACACACTTTCAAATTTCATACTGTTCCTGGTAACTGGACCACTTGGGGGCTAGCAGAATTCAATTCTCAAAAATATTGCAGTAAGTCATGGATCTATATGGTCTAACAGTGTTACAGAGCCTTATAGCATAGTCCAAAAGGGTTGTGCTAATTTTAATAATGAGTTATGGTTGTGTTTTCGGCTTGTGCATTAAACCATTCAAAGTCTACCAAACTGAGGAAGCCAGAATCTACCATTCTCTTTAAGAGCAAGTTGTGGTTGCACCGTAGGGGATTTGCCATGTACCCAACAGACTTTGTAATTGGAAAACGGAATAAAAAAAAAACATTTTTCATATTTAAAGATGACTGTGTGTCCCTGTGTGTGTAATAAGCTATGTGTAAGTGCATTTTAGACAAATAACACTAACAAGCTCTTTAAAAAAAACATTTAGCTATTTAGACCCTCTTCAGGTCGATCCAGGTCTACTTTAGACAAACTTTTAGTTGGTCAATGGTGCGGTCCATTTTTGTTTCCTCAAAATATCAACACACCAACGATGCGCCTTAATACACCTGTTCAGAACAGCATGCCCATGGGTGCAACTGCATTTGCTATTTAAACAAAGCGGTGCAGAATGATACATGCAACAGGCTGAAACTACTGTAGCAACAAACATTGACAGAGTCCATAATGTAGCTCTGTGATTTGACCAATTATTAAATAATTGGGTCTTGGCTGATTAAAATGCACTGCTTTGTTTTTGGACCAAAAGGTCTGCACTTGTCTTAGAGATGGCTCTTGTATTGTATTCTTGGTCTGGGTTTTGGGTAATGTCTTGCTCTGTATGTGGATCTTAAAGTCTTGGAGGACTTGACTGCATCTCTCTGGGAACAACAAAGAATAAAATAAAACAATTTACTGAGCACCAAGAATCCAGAAATCAATTCTGTATTCTGTAACCCAGTAGATAGTGGTAGATGTATTCGCTAGATACTAAATAAGGGATTGATGAATGTACACAAATAAGATCTTCAGACCTTCAAATGTAGAAACAGGAAACAGAGGGCATTATGCAGCATGTTCATTCGTATGCCTACCTGTGTATGAACAAAGGCACCTCTTCAAGAATGCTTCCAAGAAGGTTAGTATTAAGCAAAATGCATCTGAATAGGACCAAGGCAGTCCATGTTGTCCATGGGAGTTGGTCAGATTCATTCAGAATTCAGACAGTAGAGAATAGGAATAAAGTGTTGGGAAATAAACACATTATACAAAAAAAGATGGTCAAATTTACAGGATCTAAGTGGACTTAAGACGCCAGACCTAAACAGCAACAAAACTTGTTATAGATTCAGAGGTTGCAATCAACCAATCTCTGCTTTATTTCCATTTAGGGGACAGTATAACTGAAATTGTATCTGAAAAAGTCCAGACTAGTCATAAATCTGTTTCAGTTTCTTATGTTTAACACACAAGATATTATGAAAAATATTGAAAACCAGTATCCATCACTTTCAGAGTATTTGTTTTTTTTCTACAATGAATGACAATGGTTACCATTTCCCAACATTCTTCAAAATATATCATTTTGTGTTCAACAGTTAAAAAGAAAGTCAACAAGTTTTTGTAAATAAAGTACATTAAATAGTGAGGATTTTCTTTTGGGTGAACTATTTCTTTAAGACATGATCACACCAAAAATGAAAACAATAATAATGCCTATTAAAAACCCATTATACTTCAAGTTAAATTGTAGAACAAACTGACCAATCAAAATCAAGCAAAAATAAGTTTGGAGAATTTAAAACAGCTTGCTATTGTAACCACTTCGGAAAAGACAGACGTGCTCTTGAGGCTCCATCTTTTTCGACGTGGAAGTTTTCTTCTGCTCATTTCTACTTCTCAAGCAGAAATCAGACTTGAGTAAAAACAACAACAAAAAACACTCGAAAGCTGCTTGTTAGTGTTGAATTGGAAATTCTAATCTAAAAGTGACAATCACATTGTATTATTATTTATGTTTAATAATGAATATAATCAAGCTTCTTGCTTTAAAGCAATCTATTGTATAAAGGAAAAGTGATAAGAGTCCAAAAGTGCAGACGGAGCAAACATATCAACATTTACTGTATATGGACTCTGTTCACTAGACTGTTGTGAAGCATTTAACAGTCATCATAGTTTTATATCAGTAAAACTGTTTTTAATATTTAGGTATTTAACGTACAAACATTTATATGCATTAAATAATGCATTATATCCTCTTTGCATAAAATTACAAAAAATGAACTACCGTTTATGCATGTGTTTCTAATGCAGCGTCTATAGAGCGGAGAGTAAATTTTAGGTCATTCTATCATCATCTCTCATCATCTGTCTCACACAATTTTTTTCCTTTTTCTGAAAGTCTTGATAACATTATCGTAAGGTTTTTTTTTATTATTTCAGAAAATAGGATTGTAAATTATTTGTTGTACTCTCTGATTCACTGCGCTCTAAGTTTACCCAACTAAGACGCCTTCCACTACTTAGAAACCCGTAAATGTGAAAAGGGACTATTAGTAAATATCTGTATTGCTATTTTCAAATATCCTTTCACCTATAAGTAAAGAACTTATCCCTAAGTACATTTTCTACCATTGCCTTAAAATGGATAGTTGCTATTTTAAGTTGTTCTAGTATATCCTGTCATCATTTACTCACCTTTTACTTGTTTCAAACCTTTATGAGTTTCTTTCCTAGAACCATTGGCTTCCGATGTAGTTGTTTGTCCTATTATGGAAGTCAATGGCAGGTTTCTTCAAAATATCTTCTTTTGTGTTTAACAGAATAAAGAAACTCAAAAGGTTTGTAACCACTTGAGGGTGAGTAAATAATGAGTAAATGTTCAGTTTTGGGTGAACTATCCATTTAAAAATCCTTTTTAATTGAATATAAATTTAAATATTCAATTACAAGCAAACTTTTTATTATACTGACCATCATTTCATTATGTCGCACAGAAATGCAGAACTTCAAGTACGACTTTCCAGGGAAGTTATGCAAGAGTGAATAGTGTAAATGAAACAGGATTCTCACCATGTACTGAATGGTAGAGCTCGACTTCCGCTTCTAGAGAGGGAGAGAAGTGAGAGAAATGGATGAAACTGTGAGACGATATATAAAAAGATGCTGGCTTGTTTGATAACCATGTTCATCTGGGGTGAAGATAAAGGAGGAGCAGAAAGAGAATGCCGGATGCAGCCAGAGCGGTGTAAACACCAGTCAAAGACTTGAAGAACAACTCTGGACTGCATGTGAAGGTTTGGGGTTCAGAGGAAGACGAGAATTGAAGACTCTTCTATACAACAGGAAATTTGAAGGAAGAGGAACAAGGAAGGATAGTGGGTTAAGTGAAGGAACGTGGAAAAAGGATAGAGGCACATGCTTCTGGTAGAAATAAAGTGCTAGCTCAGGTGCACTTGAGAAACGATCAGTGTAAGCAAAGTTAACTGATCAGGGTCACTTGTTTGTGATATATGACAGTTAGCATTCAATCTCGCCCTCAACCTGGAGAAGGAAAAACAACGTAGGTGCTACAGAAATGAGGAATAATGTGCAAGAACAGGCAGGGATGCTGAGAGTGGAAGCAAGCAGAGTCTGTGTGGTTCAGTGATACTTTTTTTGTCCTAAAAAAGGGCAACCAATAACGAGTTATATTAAGCACAGAATGTTCTCAGAACTGCTTTTCTTGAAAAAAAATAAAATAAAAAACATGAAATGTGGCAACTGCCGTATTAAAAAAATAAAAATGTTTCCAATTCTAAAGCAGAATTACATAACCGGTGGTCTTGCAAAGATTTAGAAGCAACGTAAGGAAGTCAGCTCGAGTTAATTTCAAAAGTAGTGACAGAGACTAAATTAGGAGCAGCTCAGCGTGATCTTTGGAGACGGAGTCTAAAGGTGAAGGAAAGAGAGAAGGAGAGTGAGGTAATCTTGAAAAGGACAGAAGAAATGTTTTAAAATGGCTGGAGAGGACGTGGGGGAGCCTGTTGCTAGGCGATGAGAGGAGCGCTGTGCTGCTATTTTTGTCTCAGAGTTTCCAGGGTTTCAGACTCACGGCTATTCTTGGAACCAGAGTCACATTCCCTGCTCAACTATTTCTCCGCTCAAACACATGCACACATACATACACACACACACACACACACACAGATATCAGGTGTGAGTCACAGAGGTGGGTTGTGAGGTGACGACGAAATCAGGTAGGCATGTGTATGAGTTTGTGTGTCTGCGAACACTCCAATAAGTGTTAAGTGCAGTTCAGATCTGAAAATCCTCTTTCATGAATCAAATTACTCTGGCTCTTGTGGAAGATTCCACAGATTCCTCAATGGCATCGCAGCCGTCGTCGTTATATCATTCTCCTAAATATCTCCCACACACACACACACACACACACACACACACACACACAGTCACTGACGGAAATAAAACCTTGGTTTCGTCTCATCTTTCAGTGGTATCGCGGGCACCGTGACCGGATAGAGCTTGTTATGGTGTTTGATAACACCTTATATTTCCACACTCTTATGACTGTGAGATTGATTTTGTAATGCGCATGCTATTTTAACATTTTCATGTTTTTGAGGTTGCAGAATTGCCGATACAGGTTTATATATAGGGAAACTATTTTTATTTATAGTTGAATAACTGTATTTCCATGCTCTTTGGCTGCTAGAGAACTCTGTTAAATACACTGACATTTACTGCATAATTTGCGTTTTATCTACCCCAAATGCAGGCAAATATGTTAAAGGCAAGGTTGTTTACCCAAATACAAAAATGTATTTATGCACCCTGACTTTTCTCTTCAGTAGAACATTAAAAAGATTTTCAGCTGATCCTCTGTGATTCAGAAAATAAAGCTAGTGACATTCTGAAAGTGAAAAAATAAATTAAAAATGTCCTCAGCACATTGATGACAGTCTGGAGCACAAGCGTACTACTGCATAATGATATGTGCACGAGGCTGCAGACTGAAGTTAGTAATGTCGTGCAGCTTTGCACTGACAATTTAATCAAAACCATGGAAATGTATTGCGAGTTACCAAAGGTATTGATTTTGTTTTACCTTTATGATTTAATTCACTTCCCCAATGCCAGTAACTGTTTAATTGGATGTTACAAAGAACCAGTTTCAGGGGAAAAACATCTTCAATGTTCTACTAAAGACAAAAAAAGTCACCAATGGCCTAAAAGAAGTGAGCAAATGAACAGTAAACTTTTATTTTTGGGTGAACTACAGTATCCTTTTAAGAACTCTTATTGTCAAATAATTATCCAAATAAGCTAGATTGAATTAAATTTTACTTGAAAATCATTACAAGTCTCTGACAGAGACGAGATGTAGGACATGTATGGGTTGTATAAATAGAAATTGGCTTTGGAAGACCAGTGACAGCGCACAACTGTTATACAATGAACAGTCAGTGGTCAACATGGCCTTTCATTGTACACTAAAGTGAAGTTTAGACATTTCAAACTAAACTATTTTACTGTAGGTTATTTTCAAGCAAAAAAAACTTACAAAAGGCATAAGGGTGAGTAAATGATAATGTTGTATTTGTAGTATTTTTAATTAATTAATAAGGTGATTCAGTTTTGACGAATGGCTGATAAAACCCCACCTGAGTGAGACTAAAATATAGTTTGATCATTAAAATAAAAACTATGATTAAATGCTCGTGACTTAATACACACATACACAAACACAATACTAACAAATCATGCAACAAAAGAGCACACTCTAAACAAACAGCGAGCACTGACAGTAGGATAGCAGGACGGAAAAAAGACAGTAGTGAAAAGAGAGAAGGAACTAAGAAGCCATAAGGTCATGTCTGGGTCACTGAAGTTCAACAGATCTTCTTACCTTTACGTCTGCTTTTTTGTTCAACAAAGTCTTGGCTGCTACAGTGGGAGGAAATAAGAAAGAGACGTCAAATCAACAACATCAAATGACAGATTACAATATGGCAGTTAACCTGCAAGATTGGCAATTTACCCAGACTTATATTTCCTAAAATGAAACATTAGACTGCAGATATTAATCATACTTCCAATAACAACTATAGGCCCAGACAGAATCTGCACTCATTTTGGGTGAAAATGTATGTAATGGCTTTAGTTAATGCAAGTATACATGTGAAGTAGCCAAAACATTTCATAAACTAACTCAACAGTGGTAGACATTTAATAATGAGCTTTCTGTGTGGGCAGATTTTGTGTTGGCGTATTCAAAACTGTTGACTGTTACAACGAGTGATAACAATTATAAGAATTTTCACAAAGGAGTCATTAACAATACATTATATAATTTTAACAAGATCAGCAGTCAGTAATATCCAGCTGCAGACCCGCAGCGTTCTCAGTGTTTTGGTGCTCAAATTACATAAATAAAAACAATTAGTTAAAACTATGACTTTATTTATGCATCCACATACACAAAACATAAATTATACCGTTTATTTGTAAGATTGAGTGTAATAAAGTAAATCAGGATCTTAATGTTGTTTTATTTAGTTTACTTAAAATCATTTTTTCAGTGGATGACAGCATTTCCCTCCCAAATTACTGACATTTTACCCAACAAGAGCACATTCACCTGATCAAATAAGTGACAGTAGAGATTATTAATGCTAAATAAATATAACTTATTTAAATGAACGCTCACATTTTAACCTTCAGAGTCTGGAAAAAAAAAATACAGTTGAGGTCAGAATTATTAGCCCCCCTGAATTATTAGCCAGTTTATTTTTTTTCTCCCCAGATTCAGTTTAACAGAGAGCAATTTTTTCAACACATTTCTAAACGTAATAGTCTTAATAACTTATCTCTAATAACTGATTTATATTATCTTTGCCATGATGACAGTAAATATTTTACTAGACATTTTTCAAGACACTTCTATACAGCTTAAAGTGACATTTAAAGGCTTAACTAGGTTAAGTAGGTTAACTAGGCAGGATAGGGTAATTTGACAAAGTATTGTTTAACGATGGTTTGTTCTGTAGAGTATCGGAAAAAAAATAGCCCAAAGGGGCTAATAATTTTGTCCTTAAAATGGGCTTTAAAATTAAAAACTGCTTTTATTCTAGATGAAATAAAACAAACAAGAAAAAAAAACATTATCACATACTGTGAAAATTTCTTTGCTCTGTTAAACATTGTTTAGGAAATATTTTTAAAAAGAAAAAAAATTCAAAGGGTAGCTAATAATTTTGACTTCAACTGTATATCAGTCTGCACATTGTGTTATTGTCCATGAACAAAATTTAAATTGATATATTCTTTAAAGTTACTTAATATGACATAACAATTTTGCTGTAAAATATAAGAAAATCTAAACAATAAAGTGTTACATTAAAATTTATTTGAATAGATTTACTCGTTTAGATTCACATGAAAAAGTGGATTAGTACAGTCTCAGAAAGACAGGTACACAAGCTGATAATGGGGTGGTACGTTTTCAAAAGGTACACATTTGTACCTAAAGGATCCATATTGGTACCTCAAAAGTATATATTAGTACCTAAAAATCCTTAGAGGAACACTTTACCTTTGAGGTATTAATATGGGCCTTTTAGGTACAAATTTGTATCTTTTGAAGAGGTACCACCCCAGTGACAGCTCGCGTACCTTTATTTCTGAGAGTGTTGTGGAAAGTGGAAAAAATACTTAGTAGTAATACATTTTATTATACTGTATATGTATTCACAACTATTTGTTAATGAGAAATACTGTATTCTATATCTTAAACTGACATACTAATAATTCAAACTTTTACTTAACTGAGGCAACTGTTAGTAATATGTATTTTAATATTGATCAAGAAGATGGTAATAACATTTACATCCGTCATTAACCATATATTGTTCATCCCCGTCATTGATCACGTGGCAGGGATTGTGTGTCCTGAAATGTTGTGGGTCTGCAGCTGCATATATCTGTAGTAGATGTGGACTTAAATATAATTACTATATGCACTACTGTTGAAAACATTAGGGTCAGAACAATTGTTTGACATTTTACTCAACAAGAGTACATTAAACTGATCAAATAAGTGACAGTAGAGATTAATAATGCTAAATAAGTATTACGTGTTAAAATGAATGCTCATATTTTGAGCTTCAGAGTGAATAAAAAAAATACAAAGTCAACACATGCTGTTTTCAACACTGATAATAAGATCTTTCTTCAGGATTATATTGAGTGCTCCTCAAGTAATGATTCTTACATCTAGATTAGATCATGTGATAATCAATACACCAATGTATTGAAATCTTACTATTTTTACTATCTTAAATGTAGTCTTGGAAGGCATAAGAAACTCAAAAACACTAGAAAAAAAACTTACCAAAAAAAGTTTAAACAGTAGTGCTTCTTACTGTATGTGGAATTCTAAATTCAATTTCATGATATCTCTTATTTGCTAATCCAAAAAATTATATTTTAAGCATTACATCAAATAAATGGCTTCTAGACATCACCATTTATTATGAAGTGTTACCCATGGTCCTTTAGACTGAACAGTTCCCCCATTGACTGCTTGCATAAAAACTGGAGTATTTATTCTTAGTAAGTCTAACTGAAAAGACTGTAGAAGTTAAATTCACTATGCTATACGTTTAAATCTGCCAGATCACAAGAGAAGTAATGGTTCCACATATATCTGATAAAACAAGATTACACCTTCACATTTTGTTTTGATTCTATAAACCTTGAGAAGGGAAATAACTGAAAATAAAAAATTATTATTATTATTATTATTTTTTTTTTACTTCACCCAAATCATTTTACAACCGTGGAACTTTTCAATCAAAGTCCTTGGAATTTAAATGCATGGAAATACCTTTCAGTGTTTGTACAGCACCAAAGTACAAAACGTAATAAACTTATTTTTAACTAAAAAAATCCTGGCTCAATAACATTCAATCATTAATGGTTCTCTTACCATTTCATATTCAAAATATACACCCTAAAGCAGTTTATTCAAAGCACTTATTTTGGTTAGTATTCAACCGCAGAAAATACAGATTTGGCTATTAGTAAGACATTTTTGATATTTTGAGCTATTCCTCAGATTAAACGGTGACGGGCATTTTGACCATTTTCTATACAAGCACTCAAACTGCTTTGAACAATAGCTGCCAATAGATTTCAAATGACAATGAAAAAACAATTCAAATCAATTTCCGAAACGATTAATTTAATCTTTTAATATTAGTATTTGGGCACTAGTGCCTATCACAATCTTGAGGAATACCTTCACACTTCATGTTTATTTCATAATTTTAAGACTGTATAGAGGATGACATTTGCTGACATTATGCATAAAAAAATTTAAATGCATATTAAGTGGTTGCACAAAAATGTAATCCAAAGCTGTTTTTCTGGTCATATACTGAAGAACAGGTTCATTTGAGGTTAGTATTTGATACAGATCCATGAAAGAACTGTATCTGGGCCACCAATCCATCCATCTGGTGGCCCAAAGAGATCAGTGAGCAGAAATGAGCATGCGTCCCTGTAGAAAGAGCAGGAATGGTGAACTAACATCTAATACTCGAGAGTGAGTGGAGCTCCTTACCTTGCCATTAACACAGAGAGCAAGAGAAAGAGAAGAAAAGAGAACGAAAAGAGAGAGAGAGAGAGAAAGAGAGAGAGCAATGGAGAAGAGGTCAAAATACTGCAGCTAAAAGACTATGTCTATGGAGCTGTAAATGTGGCTCAAGAACAAACAAAAAAAGTATGTCAACTTCTTTTCAGTGCAGTCATCATTTTTAAGGGAGTTTAGGAGTTTTAGGGCTAGAATCAGCACAAACACGGTTTAGCAAAAAAAATAGAAAATAAATAAATAATTAAAAAGCAGGCAAATGTTTGTGCCAGGCAGTTTTGTAAGCTGTTTTACTACTCTAAAACCAATTCCTCAAATGTTCACCAATGCTTTCAATTAATAAGGAAAATACTGTAAAGATAAAAACATTTGGTCACTTTATTTTAAGGTACAATTCTTTCTATTAACAAACGATTAACTATGAGCTTTATGACTCCCAGTTTGCAGCTTATTAAGAGTTATTAAGGTAGTAGTTGGGTTTTAATATTTGGTAGGATTAGAGATCCAGAATATGCACTTTATATGTGCTAATAAACAGCCAGTATCTTAATAACAGGCAGGTAATAAGAAAGTAGTTAATAGTGAGAATTGGTGCTTAAGTGTTACCAAACATATTTTGTGTAATGTATAAGAGGTCCACAAGCAAAGGCTTTTACTCTACATGAGATGTTTGTGAACCCCTGTTATATTCTTTGTTCTGTACAGTTAATTTTAAAACTTTGGGAACTATGGTGCAGTTTAGTTTTTCATCACTAACACTATCGAGTGGAAGAGCCAAACCTGTTTTTTAAAAGGGGTATCAGCATACTTGTATATAATGTTAAAATACTGCTGCAGAGCGGAAACCTTGTATGCCCAAACTTTGATACTTTTTAGAAAATTGGAAAAATCTAATTAATTTTTTCACAGAAATAATAAAACCCTGTGTTTCCAAAGTTGTAAGCATGGATTTTATTTATAGTCAGACACTTGTGACATGTGTCCTTTTATTAATAACATTTAACCAAATATATACTCAAATAGTCTGACAAAGTATTTGACTGGAAAATGTCTGAAATTTCGTACCTCAATGCATCAGTCCCGCTGAGGCAGCAAGCACATTTTTTTCAAGTTCCTCAAAGAGATAGTTCACCCATAATTTAAAATGTTGACAAACGTTTTGTCATCAGAAGTGACTGGACTACATGCTCTGAGAACTGCTTGAGCAGGCTTTGGAATAAAGCTAATTACTGTAAATAATGTTTAATTGCTTAGACAAAAAGATTGCTTTGCTTCGCTGTCATCAGAAACCATG